GGGGAGGACCAGGGAGGATGATTCAACCACTCAACCACTAGATGTCGCTGAAAACAACAAATCCTAAACACTGTGCCTTTAATCACAGCATCCATCTGCTAAATGCTGAATGTTTTGTCATAAGAATTACACAACTATTTWTTACTAACAGTAATCTCATAATTAAATTGGTTTCTCTGATTATTAAAAAGATTTTAAAAAATAAACACTAATGTGGATGTTGAGGCACATCACCTGCTGTGATCATAGATTTAAAGCAGGACTTCTGGTCGATTCGAGGCCAGATGATGTAACGAGCCGTGGGTCTCCTGTGTCGAAGGGTCAGGAAGCACAGGGTCAGGCTCATCCCCGTGGCCATGGGAACAACGAAGCAGCTGGCCACGCTGCGAACACCTGTGACAAAGCAGAAACGGAACGTGGTTCATTTCAGTTTAACACTGGGGTCTTTAATGTGTTTCGTTAGCAATTAGCAGCTGAAAGCTAACAAATATGCACAAATAATGGCACGTAAAGCAAATATTTCTCTTACAGAGCATCCACACACAGACCTGACAGCCTGAGGATGTCCAGCACCACAGAGTTGGTCAGCTTGTTCAGCAGACTGGATCCTGCAGCTTTAGGCTGAACAGCAGCGATGTCACCTGACCTCCCTATGCCGTGGATCAACCTGCAGCAGCCACAAACAACAGTTCAGCTTCTTAACTGGATGGAAATGTGGCGTTGCACAACCGAAATCGAAATGAATAGTAATAATTTTAAGAAATTGGGAAACCTGTAATGTCGCCTCGCCACCAGGCTGGACGCCACCCGGCCCTCCCTCTCTCCCACGCCGCAGTTTCCCAGGAAGTTGTTGCTGTCCATCACGGCCAGCTCGTTCAGGAAAAGCTCCACGGTGCTCTCGCTCCACCCTTCCTCTGGACATTTACCCTGCAAAAAAGAAAAGTTAGAAGGAAACACAGAAGGAACAGAACAGAACAGAACAGAACATCATGTGTCGGCCTCACCTGCTCCAGTAAATGTCTGATGAGCTGCTCGTGCCCCCGACGTGCCTGAGACCCCTGTCGGATGTAAGAGGCAGCGACCGTCTTCTCACAGAGGGTGAAGTTTTCACCGTTCATTTCTGCTGAACACACGGCCTCAAAGTAACCAATCAGGAATGACATCAAGCTTTAATTTGTTTTAAAAATATTCAAATGTGACCCATGACTTCAAAAAGAGGATTAAGTCTAAAAGTGGTATAAGGAGAAATAGGCAAATATAGTGTTTTGATTAAAACATTTGCAAAACTTGCATTTTGTCAAACCATAATGAATAAACGCCTCATGTATCATCTGAATGAACTGTGTGAAGTATTATCCTAAAACTAAAGTCTGAAGCACTTTTTTGAGCAGTAGCAATGAAAAAAGTGATTTTGAGGAAAAATGCTTTAAAGGAGACCAATTATGGGTCCTAGAAATGTTTATGGTATGTCTGTGGGCTATCCAGACCATGTTCGTTCAGTTT